ACAACACCCAGCTAGTTCTCTTTTTTCCTATTTTTTAGTTGAGCCAGTGTCTTGCTCTTGCTCAGGCTGGTCTTGAACTCCTAAGCCCAAGCAATCTACCCATCTCGGCCTCCCAAAGTGCTAGGATTATAGGCGTGAGCAGCCTATACATACTTCTTGAAAATCTCTCTTAGGTTTAATTTTAAGGAAAAGAGACAAGTTGCAGAATAAAACTTACAATCCCATTATATGTGAAATAAAAAATAATGTGTATGCATGTAGGTATGCCAAAAGAAGGGCATAAAAAACTGCATACTAGACTCTTAGTAGTTGCTACATCCAGAGATTGAAGGTTTAGGGATAAAGGACATCCACTTTTTATTCTATAAGCTGATGTACCGTGCAAATTCTTACAACAAAAATATACCCATCTTTCATTTCTATATAAAGAAACGTAGAATGCATGAGGCTACTTCGATGAGACTGAAAAAGGACACTCGGTTCAAACATTAGAGATGCAAGCCTAGAAGTGCAGTCTTTGCCTGTAACTATGTAGATCAAAAGGGAACACAGGCTTCATAGTCTGAAGTGGTGGTGACCTGAGTTCAAATCTCTGCTCCCCCACTTCTCATTTTGTGTTGGCAGGAAAATTACTTAACCTCTCTGAGATTCAGCTTCTCTCATCTGGTTATAAAATGAGAATAAGAACAGTATCGTTCACTGAGTGGTTGTGAGGATTAAATATTTCAAATGTGCAACACTGTTCCTAACTCATTGAAAGGGAATAATGAATGATGGATAGAGAACTCTCTCTCCCTCTCTCTCTCTCTCTCTCTCTGTCTCTTTCATAAAATGAGAGAAGTATAAACTATCACCCTTTATTTTGACCAACATCTTCTATTCAACTATTCCCACTGTAGAAAATATCATTTATATAGCAGGGCTTTTATTTTTATTGTTACATCCTTAGTTTTTGATTCATCGTAAGGCAGAATCATATTAATGATCTGACTTTCTCAAATAAAGGAATTCAGTCCCCAGAAGACCAAATGCCCAGCACAAGTTATAAGCCCTGCCGCTAAAGAGTGGACTCCCCACTCCTGCACCTGCCATCAGGCCCCCAAGCCCAGTCTTTTTCCAATCAGACCTTAACAGGGGCTGCTTCAGAACATACAGCAGAATACCTTTAGTGGAAGAAAAACCTAAGCAAATTTTTTGGAAATATTTTCACGCAGAAAATCATAGGTAGCTTTGAGTTTATGTTTAAAAGGCTCTCGTTTAAAAAGGGAAAAAAAAATGTCCAAAAGCTGATCAATAGCTGAGAAGCTGTAATAGTGATCCCTTTCACGGGAGAAATTTACAACCAAATAGGGCTTTGGGGCCAAGATTCTCACAGCAACGAAAATGATGTGGCCAGAGAAGGGGAGGGGGGTGAGTAAAGAAAGACGTTGGTGATAACATCCTTGGGATATTTCTAAACTCCATTACACTATCCAAAAGAAATATAATAGGATTTGAGGCCCAATTATTACTTCCTCCATCTAACCCCCTTCATTTAACATATCATTAGTATTTTTAGACGAGTCCCTTGTGGCTCTCATGCTTTTGTAGGTGAGTCAGACAGTAAGAGCCGTGGCAGCTATCCAAGGAAACTGATCCCCCTTTTAATGCTCCTTCCTGGGTACCTGCTATAATGCAATTATCATGTACTGAAGCAATTTTCGGGAAAATGACTTGACAAGAAGAACTCTGTCATTTTGTAAACAAGAACAAACGTTGTAATTGGATCTTAATTACACAATGTTCTGAGAGGTTATTTTTATTTCTTTGTTTGTTAATACAATTATTTAGCTTCCCTATTTTAGCCTTGACCTTGCAGGAAGAGGGTATTTTCCAGTCAGCATAATGCTTTATCTTTGAAAGCTGCAATCAATAAGGATAATTAATGATGCCGGCTGCAATGATAGCCTCAGCAATCATTATCCCACATTAATCCCTGCAGTCAGGCTGGGGTCAAGGCCATCTAAATCATTCACCCAGGGGTGGAGAAATTCAAATAATTTACCAATTTAAATCCTTGCAAACAAATCCCACTTTATTTTCAAAGCAGTTTGAATGCTGGCCAGGTTTGTTTTGTGCATTTTCGCCCGGTGTTTTTTCTTTTTAATGACAGAATATCCAGTTTATATTGGCATTACAGTCTTGCCATGTTTGTGTTTTGATAAATTAATGTTAAAACATGCAGCACATGAAATGCCGCTGAGCCTGGAGGTACATGGCGCATTTAGCATTTCACACATTGTTGCTGGTTTTAAACAAGAAATGCAGGAGGAAGAGAAAAGGGAGAAGAAGGGGAGGGGAATGAAAGAAAAGAGAACGGAGGGCAGAATAGGGGCCAGCGGCCCAGGCTGGCAGAGACTCAGGAAAGAGGGTTGAAAATCCAACGTGAAAGTCTTTGAGGTGGAATTACAGGCATATGCAGAATTGTCGAGAGAGAGGGACTGGTGGATGTGAAACTTCGTGCTGGATCTTGCAACAAAACAGCCCCTATCGAGGTCCGGTTTCCTTCCTTTGTGCCTTTTTGTCCTGCCTTTTCCGAACAGGCAAGGTGGATGACTTGATGTATGCTTCCAACGGCCTGCTATAGATCACACCCTGTTATGAAGAATTCCTCTGTGCTCCCAAATATTTTTCAACGATTTCATTTTAATTAGTGTTTTACTATAAATCATATTCCCAGTCTGCACACAGAAGATGATAACAAATTGATGCCTGATGTGTGTGTCTGCATGCCTCCCGTGTGTGTGTGTGTGTGTGTGTGCGCGTGTGTGTGTATCTTTCCAGGACCGATTTAAGCAAACGAAGAGACATTTCAAGCCACTGGGTCTCCATAAATATTTGTCGATACGACACAACCCAGTTGCCTTTGTCCCTTTTTTTCGAGTCATGTGGGAAGAAATCATAGTCGCTAATGTGAACTTCACTGGCCTGGTATTTAGAGATTGGGATGTTTGTGGGCTTTGGAGATAGAAGACAATGAAGAGATAGCTGCTGGAAGCAGAGGAAACGATCTGGAAAGCACTCAGCCAGACTCCCTCTTTCCCCTCACCCGTGGGAAGCTCTCTGCAAAGACCGTGTTGAAAGCTGCTGAGAATTTATCACCCATTGCTTTTTCATTACGAACAGTGACTGCTAAAGAGAAAGCACTTAACGTGTCTGAGCCCGGTTATTATAGTCACGATAAGGAATTCTTTCTAATGAGATTGTATCGCTATTTTGCCTTCTTCCAAATGGAGATCGTTGTTTCATCCTGGCAAAAGAAGAAACAGAAGATATTTTGGGGGTCTTGGGATAGAACTGTGTGGAAGGAAGGAGGGAGTAAGCTGAAAGAAGAAGGGGAAAGTGAACTGCGTATCTGAGCATGGAAAAGCACGCAGCGAGCATGCTGAGCTGCCCTGTGAAATGGCTCCCTCCCTTCCGCTCCCCACCTGCCTCATCTACCCTGCTGGGCTTGTGAGTTTTGAGAAAGAGCCTCATCTTTGCAGAGCTGTCCTCTTGCATGGTCACACTCCTCTCTCCAGCCTCATCACCTTGCATTTCTTCAATAAACTAGGAAACTGGCAGGCCCCAATTTTAGGTCAAATGAAAGTGTGGGGCCTCCTCAAGGCAGTGAAGTCAATCTTCCCTTCCCATAGGCCTGCCACCCTAGTGCCCAGCAGGCAGACACCTTGCCACTGGATGCACTGGCACCTGGATCTATTACTGTGCAAAAGGCCCTGGCTGAGTCACCTGCCTCATGCCACTGCCTTGCCCTACGTGAGACATCATGGGCACACATCTAACTCCAGACCTTCCCCATCCATGCTGAGGCCCTGCTGGGGCCTCAAAGTGATAGTAGGATGTGGGTGTGCTCCTACCTTAGTGGTGTGACCTGGTTGCCACCCCCTGTGGAGGCAGGCAGCCTTCTTGGGGCAGGTAGGAAAGCAGAGGCGAGGCGGGGCCAGGATCCCAGGGGCAGAGAGCAGGTAGTCAAGTATCCTAGAGATGCAGGAAGGTGGTGTCAGCCCAGCACCAGGCCCCCCATGCACTCCTCATTCTCCTCATTGGATTTCACTGACACTAACTCAAATGCAAATATAAACTCAAAGAAATAGGTGTTAAGAATTTCAGAACAGTAATTGTAGAGAGTTAAATCCCAAGCACAGGACCTTTCTGAGCACAAGGCCTAGTCAGCTGCACAGGCCACTGGACCCTGTAGCTGGCTTTCCTGTCATGTACCAGGGGAAGACCCAAAGAAGAAGGAGACTCAGATGCCTGGCCTTGAGACGCTCATTATCTAGAGGGGACATGGGCAAGTTAACAAACTACATCACAGCGAGAGTTTGGCTCGGTGAGCATCGACTATGGCTGAGCTCCCCCAGGGACAACGACATAACCCTCATCATGACCTCAGGAGCCGTTATTATTATTAATCCTATTCTTCATTATTTTCTTTATTTTTTTAATTAAAATCATAACTGGATACACTTATGAGGTACCATGTGATGTGGATATATAATGTGGAATGCTTACATCAAGCTGATTAACCTCACCATCACTTCACTTACTTATTTTTTGTGGTAAGACATTTAAAATTCACTCTTAGTTACTTTGAAGTGTACCCTTTCACTGTGCTCATTAGGCGAGATCCCACCAAATGTCCTCCCTCCTCCCACCAATCACCCTCCCCCCTAGGAGTCCCCCCATCCTCCTCTCCTCTACCCCTCACTGAACTGCATTTGTGTTTTATCATTTGTATGAGTAATTGTTTACATATTGGTTTCATAATAATATTGAGCACATTGGATATTTTTTTTGGGAGGGGGGCTAGGGCTGGGTTTGAACCCATCACCTCCGGCATATGGGGCCAGTGCCCTACTCCTTTGAGCCACAGGCACCACCTCATTAGATACTTTTTTTTTCCACTCTTGAAATACTTTACCTAGAAGAATGTGTTCTAACTCCATCCAGGTTAAAAATATATATATATGGAACACTTCACCGATTGGTGTGGCATCCTTGCACAGGGGCCATGCTAATCTTCTTAGTATTGTTCCAATTTTAGTATATGTGCTGCCGAAGCAAGCACTCTTAATCCTATTTTTTAAATAACAAAATTGAGGATTAAGATGTTAAGTAACTTTCTCAAGTTCAGATAAAACAGGCAGATCTGGGATTTGAATATAAAATAGATGCTCCAAAGCCAGGTACCCTTGTCAGAGAGATTTGTGCAAAGCACCCAGAGGTTACTAGCACTGTCCTGTAGGAGCTGAGAAAGAAACGATATAAGTGATGGATTTGAGCTAGGTCTTGAAAAATGAGCTGGAACGTACCCATCAGAGAAGGAGGAATGCTGTGCATATAGTCATGGAAAAACACAGACAATTTGGGAAATTCTTATGGGAGAAGCAAGGGAGATTGGCAGGAAACAAAAGGGAGTAAAGCTGGGGAGGCCGGGGGAGCCGGGGCAAGAAGAGGGTCCCATAGAGGCCTTGGGCTTTATTCTGTAGGCACCAGGACCCCGCAGTGATGTTAAGATGGGTGGTAACATAATCAGATTGCTGATCCCCCCAAAAGCCAGGCCAAAGTTTCATAAAACACCAACAAGGAAAAACAAACCAACAAAATGACTATCAGTTTTAAAATTGGGAAACCATTCGCAACGTATGCCAAGGATTTTGCAAAGGCGTTTGAACTGCAAAGTCATCCTTCCAGAACAGCTGCCAACTCAGCACGGAAAAAGCTGAAGGATGAGTGAAGACGTACCAGTCTATGAGAAAGATCCCCACAAAGCAGGACAGAAAGAAGGATCAGAAACGGCCCTTTCCCCAGGCAGCAGGGAGAGGAACCACAAAATAAGGCCTCTGTCGGTGGCTACTGTACTGACATCCTCTTACTGCCCAGATCAATATTTGAAATGGACTCACATAATAGAGACAACTGTGGAATCCCCCAAAAGTTACTTTATTTATTAAGGACCCCAAGCTGGATTGGAGTCAGATGATGCTAGCTCTGCCTAGATCTAATAGGCTGTACAATCTTGGGCCCAAATAGTTACTCATCTCACAGCACTTTCCCAGCAGACAGGTGCATGAGACAAGTGAACGTGGACTTCAGAGTCAGACAGGTCTGGGTTCAAATCCCAGCTCTGTCACTTGGCAGGTGCATGACTTTGAGCAAGTTACTTATGATCCATGAAGCTTGGGATCCTGATCTGTAAAGGGGATAAAAAATTTAAGCATAAAAGCACACTCAAAGTATAAAATGAAAGAACATAGAAATTTGTGTCTGGAATAGTGAGTGCAAAACTTTCGGCTCCCCCTTTTACTCATCTTCGTTCTCACCTGCAGTAGAAGCACCAGATGAGTTGCAAGCAGCCTCCTCGAGCTACTCTTCCTGGACTCTAAACCTCAGTTTCCCTCCTTGAGCACATTTGACATGCCCTGGGGAAAGAAGGGTGGGTGCTGCCTCTGTCCTTGAGGAGTTTATTATTCTAGCAAGGAAGCACTTTTACAGCAATTGCTTATGAGCGACAGCAAGAGAGTGAGCTGGCCACGAGTAGCTTTACCGAAGGAATGCTGGTCAAGGCTCCCTGCCTCAATATACCTTCACTTGAAAAGTATATACACTTGAAAAGTCTCTATTTGAGAATCAGTCCTTTGAAGTTTGAATTTTTGGATGGGAGAGAAACACCTTAAGTCCTTCTGGGCTAATGCTTTAGAAGACTGCATAACAGCAAGCCCAGAGCTAGACAGGGACAGAAGCACAGAGGCCTGGAGCAGTGGCAGGGGGGCAAGGGAGAGAATATTAAGTGCTCCAAGAAGACTGCACACCTGCAATATTTGTGCTGAGTGGACACCCCGCCCCAGCTCCAGCGCTCACCTAAGGACCAACCTCTGTGGGTCGAGTTCTAGAATCCAACTGTGGACTCTGGTTGCTAAACAAGCTCCACAGCCCAAATACTTTAGTTTCCATCTTTTTCTGGGTTTATCTTGACTCCATTAAATTCCAAAGAAAATAGGGAGCTTGAGTACTACTTAATTTTCTTCATTTTTTTTATATGTTTAAAATTTTTTAATTGTTCTAAAGGCCTTTTTGAAAAAAAAAATTAGTCTAAAGGTTTTTTTTCTTTATGATTTTTACCCTCTGTCCTCCTATTTAGGTTCATTTATTTGGAACGTGAGAACAGTGGTGGTGAAAGCTGGGAACTGTTGGGATTGTTTTGTCTTTGGAAGTTCAAGGGAGATGCTCAGAAATGAGTCTCCTGGATCCCAAAGTGACCAGTGATAACCAAAGGAAATTAGTCCCAAAGTGACCAGTGATAACCAAAGGGAATTAGTCCAGAAGCTGCATCCAGAGCCGCATGCCCAGCTTGGCAATGTCTGCTGTTTTAGGGGTACAACATCTTGACTTTTCTCTGTGACAAATAAAGAGACCCCCACACGCACTGTTCAGTCCTGACTATGAGATCTGGGATTTTGCCAGCCTCTCAATCACTTCCCGATGGCCCTCAATGCTGAACTGGCATTTCTTTTGCCTTGGGAAGGAATTGGAGGGTGGACTGGCTGCTTTCCAAAAGAGATGTAGGAGCAGAAGAAGGAGGAGGGGGAAATTCTTCCCTTAGCCCCAGATTGTTAAGAACACAGTGGATCTCGCCTCTAAGACATGGTAGGCCTCTCCTAACCCTTTTGGAAACTGGTCTGGTCACACAGGTCAGTCATCTATGAGCAAATTCAGCTACATATCAGAGAGAAAGGGGAACATTCAGTCGTGAAGGCCATACTCATTCCCTCAGCCCACTCACGGACCTGAGAGAGGACAGATGAGGGGTGTGGCTCTGCTGTTCCCTCACTGGTCCGGCCCCTGTGAGCCCTCTCGTGTGAGCACCTCCTTCTGCTGAGTGGGTCTCTAGTGCTTAAAGTTTCATTTTTTTCATGTCTCCTAAATGTGAGTTGATCTCGGTTCTTCATCTCATGTGTAAGCAGAGGAAAAGTCTCCCTAAGATGCTTGTTAGGCCATTTTGACCATGCTCAGTCCTTGCCTCCTGGACTGCCTCTGAGACATAAACCCTCTATGAGTGGTGCCTCTGTTATTCTCCTCCAAAACTCAAGCTCTGGGCAGCCACAGAGCACCAAGAAGCAGAAAGTGGCTTCAATTCTTAAAATATTCTAGTTGCAAAGAAACGTAGGAGGCCTGTGGCCCGCCCTGATCCCTGGGCTGCACAGGGAAAGACACCAGGTTCACAAAAACATCTTGCTCAGGGTCTCATTTGCAGAACAGAGAGAAAATTTTGGCACTTCAGGGAGGAAAGCACCTTGTGTTGCGTCTCTGAGAGGCCATCCTTTAACTCTGCCGGCAGTGTCTGTAGTAGATTATGAACAATTATCGAATTCAGAGTGATCCTCATCAATTGAAAACAACAAATAGAAAATCAATCCAGCTGCTATTGGAGGTGCTGCATGCTGCATTCTTCCCCTGCTAATGAGGAGTTTCTGAAAATGCAGCACTGTATTATAGAGTTCAAAATCAATCAATCAATATCTATAGAGAGAGAGCATCTGTCATATTTATTATATACAAAGTGTGGTACTGGCTGATGTGGTGAAAGCATTGCACTATAAAACTCAGTTTTCTGTTAGGGCAGGAATTGGGTAAAACACACATACACATGTGGGTGTATATACATATATATGAGTGGAGATGAACAGCAGGAAGCTGACTGTGACAGTGCTGGGGACAGCATGAGACAGCCATGTTACTGTGAGCTGCGAGGAAGTGTTCTGGAAGAAGAACTTGAGATCTGCTATAGGATGGGGTAGGACAGAATAGGATAAGATAGGTGGGAAGAGGAGAAAGAGAGAGAAAGAACTACATGGGCAGAGGTGAAGAACTGACGATATATAGGGCAAGTTTGAGAACCTAAAATACCTGATGAAAAAGTTAAGACATAACTATAAATAACGGCAATTCATGGAGGGTTTATCGTACCAGCGGAGTGGTAAGAATGAATGAATTGTCAGAAGCGTGTTTTAAGAAGGTACACGTGGCTCCAGAATATGGGGTGTGTTGGAAGCAGAAGAGGAAAGAGGAGAAAGAACTAATCAGGAAGCTCTGGCAACCGTGTTGGCTGAAAGGTCAGGGGGCTGCAGGAGGGTGGTGAGTGTTGAGTAAAAAGAAGGGGATGGATGTGAGCAGCACCACATGTAAAAAACTGACAGCTTTAGGTTCTGGTTGGTAAATGAGTGACAAGGGAGAACCAGAAACACCCAGAGAGGGGGCTGGTCTGGGGACAGAGGAAAGTCTGTTTTAACGCATGAAGGGCCGGGTGATGGGAGGACATAC